TAAAGCTCCCAAGCAGGGCGACCACACTGGCTGAACAACCACCATCACTCACTCTGAGTCACAATTAGAACCTTTTTACCTTGCAAAAAGTCCTGAAAATCATTCAAGAAAAACTCCCATCTGGAGGATATATTCAGGAGCACGCTGACAGTTACTGCTGTCTTGTAAACACATCCAGAAATGTATTATTTTAATCTTAGCACAATTACTAAATAAGAGCAATCAGAGCTACAAGGCAGCAGAACCTCCGTGGGACATAAAAATAACGATGACATATCTCTCTATATTAGTCCAGTGACATAATCTGAGAAAACCAGATCCTAGGGGGGTGTTCAGTGCACACAAGTACATCTGTAGGTGGTTAGAGAGCACAGTTATGGACTTCAGGCCTGCAGAGACAGTGATTCCTTTTCATCTGACCATTCCAGCCCTGGCAAGCTCCCAAGGTGCTGGTGCTGCAGGGTGTGAGGAGCACAGGACGCCATCCATCTGCACACAGTGCCAGGCAGGCTCTGGGCAGGAGAGGAGCCTGCCATGCCCACCCCCTGGAGCACACTGCTGTGCAGGTTTGCCACTGCAGGATCTGATTTTTCAGGATCCCACCCTCAGAGTTCAGGAGGTTTACTGGAAGGAGCAGTGTGTGTGGGAATGCTAAACAGCCAGAGGGGCAGAAAAACAGCTTGTGATCCCACAGTCCTTCACAATTCCAGCTGACCAGTGGGAGGAGAAAGGGGGAGGACAGTGGCAAGAGAAAACCCACCACATCCAAGACTACTGAACACAACCCCTGGGAATTCTTGGAACACAGGGAATTCCTTCTGCCCTACTGATCTCCAGGTCCCACACCAGGACACCCAAAGCCAGCATTCCCAGTCTCCTACCACATGCTTCCTGTGCAAGTGCTGCTAAAATAATTACTCCCAAAACCTTACTTAAAATTCAGGATGTGCTTTTTACCTCAGGTACCTTTCTGGGAGGTTCTCCTGCAAATGAAAAAGAAGAGAGGGATGAAGCATCTCTGGAAGGGCAACTGCTTCACTGCCTGAGGCTCTGGGAGGTGAATTTCTATCCACCTGCCTCAGCCACCTTCTAACATTCACTTAATCACAAATTACATGACAAAGGTTAAAAAAAATGGTAATAATTAGTGTTGAAAGGCACTGGTTTTCCTAACAATAAATTGACTTCTAGGGACAGAAAAAGCAAACCAGTGTTTTAAGAGCTCTACATTTCACATTGATTTTGCTACAGATGGTTTTTCCCCTTCACTTTGCTTATACCATTGAAGTGTTGACTCTGGAAATCTGCACCAGTGCAAGGCTTTAAAAAAATTTACACTGTAAGAGAGACTAATAATAAAAAAGCAAACTATTACTGCCACTGTGAGGTGGAGTTCCCAGGGTGTGAGAGCATGTCACACACCCTGTCACGCTGCTGCTCCTGAAGGTGTCTGTGAAAGAAAGCCAATGAAAATAAAATTCAAACATGTGCGTTTGTGGAACCAGGTTAATCTCAAATGCATCTCCTGAGTCATCACTCAGGTGTGTCCTGCCAGGAACAGCCTTCCCAGGGAAGGAGCACATGAGTTGTCACCACAGCAGTGGCAGCCTGGGGTCTTGAGGGAGGGGCAGGACAGGTCCCTGTGCCACACAGAGGGACAGGACACAGGGACACAACCCCAGCCAGCCCCAGCAATCCCTCAGCAGTGCCCTGCCCTGCAAATCTGTGCCACCCCAGACAGCTCACAGTAAGCAGGAGGCTGCAGGATGAGTGAATCCCTGGGCAGGACACATCCCCTTCCATCCTCCCCTTCCCTGCTGCAATTGCTCCTCTCCCTGGGTTATTGGTTCCCTGAGCTGCTGCCCTGGCACAGAACCCTGCTGGGCTCAGGAGCCACCTGGCATCGGCTGTGCCTCCAGCCCTGACTCCTGGAATTGCTTCAGCAGCTCTCCCAGCTCCCTTGGCCTCGGATAAAGATCCCCACACACCCAGGGAGAATTTCAGAGTTTTGTTGTCAAAAACAATTACACCAGGAGTGCAAAGGCTGCGTTTCATCCCTGCAGTCCCTCTCAAACGTCCGGGTGAACCAAGGCAGTGACTGGGCAGGAGGAGGAGCTGGGACACCCTGTCCTGTCCTCAACTCAAACACCCCCTGAGCCTTCAGCTGGTGATGGTTCTGAGCACTGGGAGCTCAAAGTTGAACAGTGACCCCCCTTCTTCATGAGGGACTCCTCTGTGTAGTTCATAGAATGGTTTGGGTTAGAAGGGACCCCAAAGTCGATCTTATTTCACCCCCTGCCATGGGCAGGGACACCTTCCACCAGCCCAGGGTGCTCCAAGCCCCGTCCAACCTGGCCTTGGACACTGGGATGGGGCAGCCACAGCTTCTCTGGGCAACCTGTGCCAGGGCCTCCACACCCTCTCAGAGAAGAATTTCTTCCCAATATCCCATCTTCTTCTGCTTTAAGCCTTTTAGTGGCTTTCTACAGAATCCACACTAAAGGAAGGATCTTTATGAGCAAAGACATGGCACAATTCCAGTCCCCAGTACCCTGTCCTGCTCCTCAAAGGTCATTACAGCATTTTGGGATATACACAGTATGTAGGAAAACACAAAAAACCCCACCCTGACACACAACCCCCCAAACCTGGACAATCCCCAGGGGTGGAACAGGAGCTCTGTGACCACTGCAGCAGAGCCAAGGAAACTCCAAAGAGCAGTGAAACTTGGGAGGGACAACCACATTCCATATTCCCTAGGAATCCACTTCCTGCATCACCAGACTAAGCCTATAAACCTCGACTGACCTATAAATCCTAACCAACCTTGTGTTCTCTCAGTTTTTAGATACTGGACAAAGAAACTGGTTAAAAAGGTCTGGAATCACCTCTTTCCCTGTGCCACCTCCCACACACCTCATGTTTTATCTCCATCCTGTAGCACAAACTCTGGTATCTGGCCTTCCTCACACCTTCCTGCCTCCCTCCACCTGCTGCAAATGCTACTTCTCAATTTATTTGCCTTCTATGAATTACCTGCAGCACATTTCGAGTTCTTTTCTTGTTGTTGGAGCTGTTATTCTCTACCCTGAACAAGGCAGGTGTTTTCAATATGCTTTCTACCAAACAACATTATGCTTGTATTTATTGATAAAATAAAATAAATCCACACAACAAAACCCACAGTGTTATATATAACACCATTCCTCAGGTTAAAAGATTGTGCTGCATGAGATTTTCAGCAGGTGCAATTTCCATTTCAGCCCAGGCCTGTGTGGCTAAGCTAAAGCACAATATTTTCCAGAAGAAATATCTGACAGGAAATCACTAACAATCACCAAAAAGTACAACCCCCACTCCAAAAGGGGAGATGGAAAAGAGAGCAAAGCACAGAAGCTATTGCAGCTCCATCTCCTGCAGGGCAGGAGGGGGAAGCCCCCGGAGCAAAGGCACTGGGGTGGCACTGGGGTTTGGCACCATGAGCTGGCCCACCAGCTCTGGGCAGGGGGCACAGCACAGCGAGGGGCTGCTGCCTTTGGCCCGTACCCTCCTCTGTGCTCTGTGTGAAACCAAATTAATCATCATCTCCTCTCATCTCCTCTCTGTACTACGGGAATTTGGGCACCAATCTGGTGCTTTCCAAGTCCAGGGTAATTCAGCTCTGCCAGCACAAGGAAACCTGAAGCTTTTGCTCCAAACAGCTTTGAATGCTGGCAGCAGCCTTTGGAATTCTTTGTGTTTTCTTATCAGCTGCTTACATCTCTGCAGACAACAGGTTAAAGCCCTTCATCTGGGTCACCTGCAGGCCCCACTCCCAGGCAGGGAGCCCAAAAGCTGCTCCACGCTCCCTGTGTCAGACCCAGGCCACAAACAGACCCCACTGTGGTTAAAGCTGTTTCTGCTGCTTCTTATCTCTCCCTTGACAGGGAAAGCAGAGCTATTTGAAGTGTTTGTAAGCCTTGGCAGACCTGCTTTCCATCTGAAATTAATTCCCTTTGGGGATGCAATGGCTGCATGGAAAGCCCATTGCAGAGGTGAGACGAGACACAGAAAACTCTGTAACCTCTGTCTCCTCCTGGGTGAGCCTGGGTGATCCCCTCTTCCAGCAGACTTCCTCCTGAGTGATCTCCTTCTCCAGCGAGGGACAAAACTGACTGCAAATCTGTACAACCAATCTCCCAAACTGGAAAGAACAAAGCACTGGTGCAGCACCTTCCTATGGAGGAGGCCTGGAGCCAAAGCACAGACCTGCCTGGATGACACCACTGCAGCTTCACCTCCACAGCCTGTGAGTTTAACAACTGCAAATGTGGAAATTCTACCCCAGCTCCAAGTGAGACGTGTTAGCTGGCACCTGAAATTTGCTCCCTCATTCAAGGGACACAATAATTCCCTCCAGGGTGCTGAGCTTGCCTGAGTTTTGCGTTCAAGAACAAATGCTGAGTCAAAATAGAGACAAAAAAAGGAACAAGAAGCAAAGCTCTTTTCTGCACAGGTGAGTGTGGGTTCAGGAACTGGGGATCACAGACAGCGTGCTACAACATCCATGCACAGTCTGTGCTGTAAATGGGCCCCGGGGCTGCTGTTTGTGACCCAGAGCACTCAGCAGGCTGTGCTCTCCCTCAGTGCCCAACTCCAGAGGCACAGGAGTCTACTGAGTATTTTTGAGAGTTTTCTTGCTTACATCTGGTATTCAAAACGATTTAGTTAGGAGATGCCTCTTTCTGGATAATATGACAGCTAATTCCCACTTATCCTACTGAAAGGATACAATTGAAATGGATGCAACAATAAAACTAATGGCTAATGTGATTGTTATTGATCATTTGCCAGCTTATAAATGAATGGCCCAGGAGCTAAATGGGGAAGGAAGACAGTGCCTGTGTCTCGGGACTAAGCAGACTGGAGAGCTCATCTGGAAATCCACGTAAAGCTGAACATCAGCACGTCCTTAGAACCACAGTGAGTCCTGAACATCAGGCCTGTTCACTCTCACCTACCTTTTCAGCTGACTGGGCAGTGCCAAAAAATATTGGAATGAAGGCAAGCCATACTATACAGGTAGTGTACATAGTGAATCCAATGGGTTTGGCTTCATTAAAATTCTCTGGGACACCCCGAGTCTTGATGGCATACACAGTGCACGTCACCATTAGAAGAATGCTATAACCCAAGGAACAAATGATTTGTAGATCCGTAATGTCACATTTGAGAACTCCTCTGGCTTGATCGGGGTTCATAGTTTTCTGCTCATCATAATCTATGATGATGTTGGGCGGGTCGACTGCAAACCAAATAAAGACCCCCAGGAGCTGCACCGATATCAGGCTGGAGGTGATGGCCAGCTGGGACGTGGGGCTGATGAGCCTGGGCGCGGTCACCGACTTCTTGCCCTGCTCGAAGATGCGGTAGATGCGGTTGGTTTTGGTCAGCAGGGCCGCGTAGCTGATGCACATGCCCAGGCCCAGGAAGATCCTGCGGAAGGAGCAGACGGCCACGTCCGGCTTGGCGATCATCAGGAAGGTGATGATGTAGCACAGGAAGATGCCGGTCAGCAGGACGTAGCTGAGCTCCCGGCCGGAGGCGCGCACGATGGGCGTGTCGTTGTACCTGATGAAGGTGGCCATGACGAAGATGGTGGCGATGATTCCCAGCATGGCCAGGAAGACGGGGATGACGGCCCAGGGCGAGTGCCACTCCAGCTTGATGATGGGGATGGAGCGGCAGCCCGTGCGGTTCTCGTTGGGCCGCTCGTTGTAGGAGCAGAGCAGGCAGGTCACCTCGTCCGCCTGGTACTGGTACCCGTCGCACAGCTCGCAGTGCCAGCAGCACGGCATCCCCTTCACCATCTTCTTCCTCTCGCCGGGCTTGCAGGGCAGGCTGCACACCGAGGGCGGCACCTCCCGCACGCCCCCGCCCCACTGCATCTCCTCGATCTGCACAGGGAACACAAACACACTCTCAGTCAGCTGGCACTGCCACAAACCCCAGGGGAACGAAGGGGGAGGACTGAGGGGGAACCCCGATGGGAAAAACCCAACTGGGTAAACTCTTTAGGCTGCAGATGCCTGGAAACGCTCCAGGAACTGCACACACAGGTGTCTTTGCAAGGCACTCTGATGCACAACTGTGTTTGCTGCCTCCATTCCTCATTTGTATCGGTGGTTAGTTCTGGTGGAACGATACACAACATCAGATAAAACCGTAGAGTGAAAGCCTCTTGTTTATGACAACTAACAAGAACGCTGCAGTGCTTGAGGGAAGGCAGGACTCACATTCACAAATGCTTTCCACAAAACCTGGGACTTCTTCCCAAGACCAAAACAGAGATCTCCTTCCTGGAACTGTTGCTGATCAGGTGAATATTTTAAATGAGGTGAAAATGTGTTTTACACAGGGCATGGGATCAGCGAGAACGTGGCAAGGTCTGCAGCATGAGCCAGGTAAGAAATACGAAGGACAGAGAAAATGGTCACCAATGAAAACTGCAATAATTAGATAATATTTCATTTCAAAGTCACATTCAGCTTTTGAAATACCACACATGCTTCTGGGAATGCAAATGATAAATGATTATATTAAATGCAGGGAAAGTCTCACTTGTTCTGCAGTCTGGAGAATCCTGAACTCCAAAGTATGTGACGAAGGTTCCCAAGTACTGTGGAAAATTAGACTCACAAATCATTTCAAATTACGTCCGACTCAAGCCACTCACCAGTTTCCAGGAACAAGGGGGGTTCAGCACTGGAGCCCCCATGAAACAGTCCAGACTGGAACCACTGGGAAGGTCCTGGTGTTCCCAGCACCAGCTACCAACTCAGCTGCCCAGCAGCATTTCAGTGGCTCTGTCAGCTGCTCTGTGTGTGAGTCTTTTCCAAACATAAAACCTGATCCCCTGGGACAGATGTGAATAAGTGTTATTAAAAACAAAATTTCAGCTATTTCTCTTCAGGTCACTTAAATGCTGACAAGCTCCACTATTTTCCCTACAGGTAAATAATTCTAAGATGTGTTTCTTGAATCAGCTGCCTTGATTATTCATGTCCACAGGAAGACTTGGGGTTTGCAAGAATTAAATTGAAGGATTTAGTTGCACTTTCCTAATTTAATTCAAGATAGATCCTGTATCCTCTTAATTTCATACATGTGGAAAAACCAAACCCCGAAGTCACACACTGCTCAAACCCTGCAGCACCAGGAGCCTCTCTGTGAACACTGTAAAATAATCCCTCCATAACAGATATTCCAGAGCTCTGCCACTGCCTGGGAAAATTCATTAACCTTCAGTACCATGGAAAAGAGAAAGATCTGTGAACCCTTCTTTCAGGCTGTGCTGAGCTGAAGGTGTGCAGCCTGCAGAAGGCAAACCATAAAGGGGAATACAACGACTCATTTAATTGCACTGGTAAATTGCAGTTTGGTCTTCCTGGAAGTGAAGGAGCCAGGAAATCCATTTCCATGCCCAGCTCCAGCACTGCTCCAGTGCAGTGGTAACAGCCCCTACAGAGCTGCAGCTGAGCTCCTGGGCTGTGGGAATGCCCTGTAGGAGAGCTGGAGTGAACTGGCTCATGCCCACATCACCTGCACACTGCAGAGGCACAGATGGTGCCGGTGCAAAGAGACCCAAAGAGATGGTGAGGAAAGAGAGCCAGGGCTGAGATTTCTGACCCCTAAAGCAGGTGTGAAAAGTTCATGGCAATTCCTTAAGAAAGCAGCTGATTGACCCTCTGCTGCTCCCTTTACTCTTCTCAGTCCCTGATTTGTATTTTGCCCTTTTCCAAGGTGGACTGAGACAAGGGAACTACAACTTACCTGGGTGTTTATACCAAGAGAGTGAGTCACTGATCCAGTCCAGAGCCTCCATTTTCAATCATAACTATTAACCACAGACGTTATTTGAAGCCCTTTTCCAGCAGACATCGATATGAAATGAGAACATCATCCCAACTGCTCAGATTTTGACCCAGTCTGCAGCAATGAAATGATTTTCACAATTTTCCACATGCTAGTATCTTCAGAACCGCAGACTGATTAATGTGTTATCATATCCCTGCTTCCCCTTACAGCTACAAAAGGATGAATTTCCATATTCTCAGACATATTCCTCGGCATTGCTGGAACCTGGGACAGCCTGAAGGTGCTTTATTCTGCACAGATACTGTGTGCATAGAGATAAATAGAAGATCAGGTAAAACTGTGGGAAGTCCTTTTTCTGGCCTCCTGGAGAGACACCATGAGAACTCATCACTGGGCTCGGAATGATTTGCAGAGTTCTGCTGTTTCTGGTGAGAAAAGTAATGCTGCCCAGTGCCTGTGAGGAAATGTGCTGGGCACCAGCACCTGCACAGGAGGTGAGAACCTCAGTCAAACCAGAGACACTTTCCCCACTCAGAAAAGTGTAATTTTGAAAGAAATTTTGTCCTTGACTGCCACATCTACACATCTTTTAAATACCTCCAGGGACAATCAGAAAATGTTAATCACAGTCTACAAAGCAGGAATTTCATAAAGCAGGAGAAGGTACTCTTGCAGTTAATAAAAAAATTGGGGGTTTTATGTAGAACCTTCCATTTCAGTCCTACATCAAACTGGCACACAGAGGATAAGGGAATTTATTTTTCCCAAGCCAACACCACTTCCAGGGGCAGCCAGACGCCCTGTACTCACAGTGAGCCAACAATTCCACATCTTGAGCTTAGCACTTGACCTGGTCAGTGCTGAGGAACACAAGGAGCTCCTCTCCATGGCAATTCTGCGTGATTTGGGAAGGATGTAAAACCTAAACTGCACCAGATGCTGTGGAGATGTGTCTAATGTCTTGGAAAATCACATATTTACCCATCACCTGCTTATCGACACGTCAAGTGGCACATCTTCAACAGCATCATGAGCAGGCTATGACAGTTCATGCACTGCTGGATTGATCTGATAAACGGTGAAAAAACCTCTAAACCACAGTGTAGGACATTGAATACAGCTGCTAAGAACAGAACCTGGGAGCTGGCTGTGCCCCAGGGATCCAGCAGGGCATGTGGGGCAGTGGGGCACCATGGTCGGCCCTGCCAGCACAGCAGGGAGGAGAAAACCCCAAACCAGAACCAGCAAAGAAGAAAACAAACAAAAAACCCCAAAGAAAAGCAAAAGCTCCCTCCCCCGCCATGGGGCAATGCAGCAGCACCTGGGTCAGGGGTTCACTCTCTCTCTTCCCCAAGCTCTCCCGACTCCTACGAATGGCCCAGTTCCTAAACGCCTCCAGCCAGAGGGATGGGATCCATTTCCAATATAAATTCTCATTATGTTCACTACAGAACAAACATTAACCAGAAATGCTTAGTCTGTCTCATAAGGCCTAATGTAATTGTTCATTTTAATGAACAAAGTAACTCAATAGAAGTGCATAATTCAAACATCGCTGCTTTTCTTCCCAGCGCCACAAACATTCCCGTAATAAGCCATTTGTTCTGAACTTAATTGTTTCATGCAATGTTTGATTAAAATAAAAATCAGTACAAAAATAATTACATTAGTGGTAATTAACCTACTTGGGGAAGAAAATAGCCACGTTCCCTGATATGACTTTCATAACGACGGTGCCATTAATTTCACGGACACATCAGGACACGAGGCAGAGGATTGGGCTGGGATTTATTGCCACCCTCCAGACTCCAGAAACTAACTCAGCAGTTCAAACATTTGTGTACATTCTCCTTTGCAGGCAGCAATATTTGCATGACTTAGCTCTTAGGCTCAGCTATTAATGTCTTGTAATTAGTTTTTAAATCCAGGGGTTTACCATGATAATGGTTTTAAGCTAAGAATATGTCAATAACACATCGTCAGCAGAGCCTTCTGCAAAATATCAACTGAAATCCCTTCAGGAGATAACGGTGATGATAAACCAGAGAGGATGCAAAGCTGCTGCAGTGGCTGCCCCAGACTATGGGAATGAGGTTTTTCCCTTCTGTTGTAACTCATTTCATCTCCCTGTCTGCAGGGTTGACAGGAAGCCCTGAGACAGCACAGAGCCTGCAGGGTGAGAGAGGCAAAAACCCCCACACTTTTGGCTAAACCAGATCTGCAGCTGCTGCCAGAGCACCTGTGCTGGGCCAGGGATGCTGTGGCTGAGGCATATCCTGGGCTCCCCTACTCCTCACAGAGCACCCCAATGCCTCCCTGAGCTCTGCAGCTCCCCCTGCTCACCACAGCTACTTTAACTCCCTGCTCCCAGTGCTGTTCCACGGGAACTCCTCACTGGTGAGATGGAGCATCAGCCCAGCTCTGCCTCCCGACACCAGAGACGAGGCCTCTCCAGCATATCTTCCTTATAAACAGAAGTTAAACATCCTTACATATATTTTGTCCTGGTTTCTCCTGCTGCTGCCTGTCTAGTTTCTGTCCTCATGGCACAGTAGCCACTGAGTCTGTCCCTAAACACACACCAAACTAGCAAATTGCAACTTTCTAGTTGAAAATAATGGAAACTCGTCACTTCCCAAAGGCTCCCAGCCAAAACCCTGCAATTTTTCATTGTCAGACAAATCAGAAACATTGTCAAAAAACGGTGACAACTTTCCCATAATGCCAGACCCTAATCTTCCCACCTGCTGATTCAGACTTTGGTTAATGAGGAAAATGCCCCCAGGATCAGTCTCACCCTGCACAGCTCCAGCCTCTGCTCTCATTAGCGCTGTGAGGGCTCCTGGAGCCGTGGGCAGGCATCCCACAGGGCGAGTGCTGCAGGAACCTGGGCACAAAATCACTCTCCTGAAGGCTTTTGGAAGATGTGGGACCTGCTCCCACATTTACTGCCACGTGAGGAGCACGGGGAGAGCCTGAGGATCCCTCAGCTGCTCCTGGTGCTGCAGACCCTTCCCCAGCTCCATTCCCTTCTCTGGACACGCTCCAGCCCCTCCATGTCCTTCCTGAACTGAGGGCC